ACACACACACACGCAGCCTTGACACTGGAATACTGGTATTTTTGCTTTTCTTTAATAGAGATGGAGCCATCTGTTTTTAGCAGGGAGGAAACGGTTCCATCTGAAAGTCAAATCTTATGATCAACCTATTCTGGAATGATTTTGTACTTCTATTTTTTTTAACTCAATATTTCTTGTAGGGGTTTTTATAAGCTGACACAACACTTGTGTAACAAAAGATAGAATACATGATAATAAAACATATCCTTAACTATTTCTCTAACACTTATAAATCTGTAATAAATCTGAAATCTTCATATTTAGAAGCTAAGCAACTATAGCTCATTATCATTTCAAATGAGTAGAAACTGTTATTTGGAATTCATACAAAAGTACACTTTCATATTTTACTCTTTTATCACATTCTAATACTCTTAGGGTCCCATTTTTAAAAAGGCATACCCACTTCTACAACCAACTTAAAACATAATTTGACTCACTGAATAAATAAGCTAAAAGTTAAAAATAAAAGCTTCCAGAATTTTAAGGTGTAGAAAAGATGCCAAGGGGCCAACATTTAAAAGGAAGAAAAGAAGTCGATGTACCAATGTTTAACAGAAAAATGAACTTTCAAGAAAAGTGAAAGGGGAAAAAAAAAAAAGTACTTGCCACACGTAATCATTTCACTCCAGGCTCTAAGATCATGAAGGCCCCATAATTTTCCAGGCTATCGCATTTCAAATATTTACTCAGAGCACTTCTGCCCATCCTCCATGTCCTTCCCTTTCCCTGTCCCCAGCATGCATTGACATCCTCCACCCTCGAGCTGGCTACTGAAGTCCCTTACCTCCTCTAGGTGACTAAGCAGCACAGACAGCTCCCACAGAAGGTCCCTGGGGACACYTTCACACTGAGGATGAAGCTAGACCTTTTGCCTCCCCAAACTGCTCTCCCTAAGAGGTTGAGTGCACAGACTCCTGAGCAGAGACTCCATGCTGCTGAGGTGAGGGACAGGTACACAGTGTGGTTTCAATTGGCATCCAATTGAAACAATGACCTATTTCAGTACCTTTACCCCCTGCAATCATCTATCTTCTCCACACTTTGGTCAGGGCCGAGCACTTTTTAAAATTCAATACCAGTTAACACAAAAGAAAAACAAGGAGCCCTTTTTTGGAGGACTTGCAGTCCAACTCAGAGCTCAAGATCAAACTACTCCCAGGCCACCCACCCAATTTCCCTGCCATACATGGTCTTTGCTCAGAAAAACACTGGACAATCCTTTGCTTCTCATGTCCATAGAGTTCTCTTTTATTCTTTTTCTTTCTACATAAAGAAAGAACTGAGGGTAGACAAAAACTGTCGATCCTGGAAAGCTGTCATCCATAGATGATCACTGGTCTATGCAATGAACTTGACTGTTCAAATACATGTATAAAACAAAAACTGGGTTTATGTTATACATAAGGTTTTGTGTCCTGATTTTTGCATTTCATAAAATATCAATAAAAATTTTCCTGGTCAATATTATTCTACACTTATTTTTAAAGGTTACTTGCAGTTTCCTCTATTTTTAAACTCCCAGGAACTCGAAAATCTCTTCTACTTTCTTTCCTCCTCTCTCCACACATTCTCCCAAAGAACAGCACAACTAAAAGACAACAGCCCTCATTCAGCTAATAGATCCCAAACACTCTAGGCAAACTCATTAGTCTACGACATTCTATTTTTCATACCATGATTTCATTTACAGMTTTTATTTGTTGGATGACTGTGAAAAATAACTACATGAGGCCCAAGCTACCTCAGAGGGCCAGAATACCATGAGGACTGAGGTACATCTTCCCCTAACCCATCACGTGTAGCTCAAAAGCCAAACAAAATAAGTTCAGGTGTCCAAAAGGCCTGATTTCTCCCATGAATGCTTCTYGTTTTAAGAATTATAAAACACTGTAATCCCAACAGCTTGGGAGGTTGAGGCAGGAGTATTACAAGTTCAAAGCCAGCCTCAGCAAGTTAGCGAGACCCTAAGCAACTCAGAAAGACCCTTTCTCTAAATAATACACAAAAAAGGGTTGGGAATGTGACTCAGCGGGTAAGCCTCCCTGGGTTCAATCCCCAGTACAAAAAAAAATTATAAAATATTGAATTATTTAAGTTTTCTCTCTCTTGTGGTACCCCCTTGCTGATGCTCAAATACATGTCTATTAGCCTGCCTTTTAAACACTGCCTTTTAGGGATTGAGAAAGGAAGAGTATGTGTTCTTAGGAGTAATAGAAGAGCTTAAATTCAGATTAAAAAATCCATACATGATCATAATTCCAGACCTCAATTTATAGGTTTCGGTCAGGTACATTTTTTAAAAGGAGAATAATAACTATCTATTTAAAATTGTATTATTCATGTGGAATCTTTATAGCAAATGCTTTGTGCAATCTGCAACTGAACATAGTTTAAAGAGCTATTTCCTATGCTATTGTTAGGTATGTCAATAACAKGATTTATATTGCGTGATTTTTATGGTGAAATAATAAGTGACTAATTCAACAAATTTTTCACACTTCAGTTAAGAGGGAAAATTTGTTTCCAAATTACATCTTGATTGTCACTAGCTATGGAACACTTGCTTCTAGACTTCAGTTTCCTCATGAAAAAAAAATAAATATCCTCTGTATTGGGTTATTATGAGGATTAAGTGACTTAATACATATCAACCACTTAGAAAATTGTACTGAGCTTTCAGTAAATGCTACCTAATGTTATCATAGTCACTATTAGTATATATTTTTATAAAAGGCTCAAAACCTAACATCCTACCTCATTCTCCTCTTACTAATGAATATGCTATGTTACACAGTCACAAAAATGCTGTACATTGCTGTACTGAATCTCTGGTTTATAATTTTCAAGTGAGCTGTTACTGTAATAATTATAAATATCTCTTATATTATAAAAATAAAGACACAGGATTTGAATTCAGGACTCTCTAACCACTGTTAGTGATACAGAAGCCACTGCAGGTATTCTTTGGTATGATCTACACCAGCTTACATGGCCATAGGTACAAGGTCTGCTGCAATCCTACTGACTCTGCAGGCTGAGACAGGAGGATTGCAAGTTGAAGGCCAGCCTCAGCAACTTGGCATGACCCTATCTCAAAATCAAAAATACAAAGGGGTGGGAATGTAGCTCAGTGGTCTCACCTCTGATTCACAGTTGAACTCTCCATATCGTCATCTATTAATAAATAAATGTTTTCTGAAGACCCAGAAACATAACCATAGCATAAACTGCCTTGGTTATAGACGTCAGACCACAGAGTCCAGAAGCTCCTGTTCCCATAGTGCTCTGACCTCCTTACATCTTACTGCACTCATATACATGAAGGTCATCCTTTTCAAGGCCATGAGCTTTTGAAACAAATTCTACATATTCCCTACTCAGCATCCAACCAACTTGTGTATATGACAATATGTATTTGTTCGGCAACTAAATGAATAACTAAAGTGATCATTAGCTGAACCTTAAAGGACAAGTAAGATTGAGAGATGGGAGAAGAGGAGAGAGTATATCTAACACAGAGACCAGCAACTGGCAGGAAACTGCAGGGATGTGGACAGGTCCCAGCAGAAGCTTCCCATGACCAAGCAGCAGGCGGCCATCTGTGCAGACCTGCAATTCCTAAGGAGGCAGCTTAGGACTTCATTTTCTAAACTAGACCARTTGTTGATAAACATTTGTTTTTAAGAAGAGCAACACTTTGATTAAATTAAACCCTATGTGAAATGCCRATACACCAAACGGTTGTGTGAACTCAAAGCACACCAGTTCCCGCACCCTGTACCCCAGCCACTCTGCCCCACCTTACCTGACCCAAGAAGACACCGAGACCCCTCCTCAAGATTGGAAACCACTGGGCTAGAAGAAAAGTCAGAAAGCACAAACATTAAAGTGCTCAAAGAACTCACCTCTGGGGAACTGTCTGCCCAGGTGGGAGGAGAGAGGGAAGACACGGGTTCAATGGCCTTAGGTGTCCTGCCGCAGGTTAATGCATCACTGCCCTACAGCAGGACGTTTTCTTGACAAAATGACATTGCAGTGAACAGCTGTGTGCACAATATTTTCCCACACCTGGAATTATTTCCTTCTGTGAATTTATATAAGTTAATAGTTTCCATTTGGTCCTATGGTGCACTGCTTAAAACAGGACACAGTGGAACAYAGAAGTATCCAATTCAATGAGTATTTTTAAAAAGCCATCATATATTAGCAAAATTTGACTCTAGCATTCTAGTTCAAGATGTGTATGCATGTGTGTGTATAAAATCTTACTACAAAACTAATTAGGAAAATTTCCACACCTCAAAAATACACTACAATAAACCTGAATCAGAACTGAAATCTCTACCTTTCATGAATTTTTCATAACTTCTCTTGCCACTTATCAGAACGATACACTGGAAGAATTTTCCTTTCGTGATTGGGTTTCACAATTAATTCTGTGAAGTCATAGTACTCTGACAGTAGATTCTCTGGCAACAAACTGAGACATCTTCATATTCTTATTTGTAAGATCTTTGAGGCATATGGATGTTCTATTCTTACTTCTAAGAGCAAAATCTATTTCCTCTTACCTCTAATGATTGATATGTTTTAATCTAACTTACCTCTCTTTGTCCCTAGCAGCTTCCTAAAACTACCTTTGGGCAAGTACTCAGAGAAATGCCTCTAAGTTCAAACAAAATATAAGATGATCCCTAAGCAGGCCGTGGGGGTTCGTGCCTGTAATCCTACTGACTCTGCAGACTGAGACAGGATAGCAAGTTCAAGGCCAGCCTTAGCAACTTGGCAGGACCCTATCTCAAAATAAAAAATACAAAGGGTGGGAATGTAGCTCAGAGGCAAAGCCCCTGGGTTCAATCCCCAATAATGCCCCCTCCAAAGGCAGAAAAAAAAAAAATTGCTGGATTGCTAGTTCCTATGAATCACCTGTGCAGTTTTCCTGTACTCTTTGGGAGGAGAAACACCAAAAATAGAAAGCATATTGGCTTTTTTTTTCTTATCTCTAGTACTCTTTTATTAAATTTTGTTAAATTCACTTATTTAAAAGGTAATTTATTTCTATCACTAACGTGACTTCAATTGAGAAAAAAATTCTAATAAAAACCTTTTTTTGGGCTGGGGATGTGGCTCAAGCGGTAGCGCGCTCGCCTGGCATGCGTGCGGCCCGGGTTCGATCCTCAGCACCACATACCAACAAAAGATGTTGTGTCTGCCGAGAACTAAAAAATAAAAATAAAAAAAAAACAACCTTTTTTTTTGTTCAAAAGCAAGTTATTACTAGGAGCAGCAAAGCCACGTCCACTACTACATAACATTTCTATTAACTGAATATAATTAGACTGTATTAACAAAAATTTTCTTAGTTTATAGCTGTACCAGGCACCATGCTACTTGCAAGATTCACTGTGAAAAGACAAAAGTAAGATCTGTTCTCAGAGCCTGCCTTCATGATGCAAAGGTAGGCAAAGAATCTTTATGAAATAGAAGATTCTAATAATAAAAACAATGGAAAGTGCTTTAGAATGGACTGGAACCAGATTTTAGAATACCTGGAACACGAGGCCAAGAGACTTGAAGTTTGAACTTGAGTTGAAAGACTCCACACTGAATGAGACCTTCAGAAAAATACGGATCTAATCAGGCCCCAACTAAATTCAGTGCCTTCTCATTTCCTTTGAGATAAATCCAAACTTTCATAAGGTTAACTCGTCCTGCATAAACAACCCCACCCACCCTCACCATCTACTAAGTAGCTACATGTGACCCATCCTTCTATTTTATTTCTTTTTTAAAAACACACTGGTGGGGGCTGGGGTCATAGCCCAGAGGCAGAGTGCTCG